TTTTCAATCTTTTTCAAAAGAAGTTGGTAACTATATTATAAATCCTTCTGAGATGGACACTATGGAAAAATTTCCCAAGTTTTGTTTTTTTAATAACGCAACTCTAACTTTTAGTCATGTTTATAAACCTACTACAAACTAATTGTTTAATTTGTTGAAGCTAATAATCTCACCGGTGCTTTTTCTGAATTTCAACAGGCTCCTTTACGTTCATTATTTTTGTGATTTCATCAAATAAAAGTTTTTAAAATTACATATATTCCGCCTATATATGGTATTGCCTTTGTTCTTGATCCTCGTTTCAAACTAAATGCTTATAAAAAAAATGTAGAGTACTGTTGGGATATAATATCCCGGCCTATTACTATTCATAGGCCCAAAGCATCTCCCAAGACGGAGCCCAATCGATGAGGCCCATTTAGGCTCGCCCGGCCCATTTAGGCCCGTTTCGGCTCATTAGGGCCTTTTCGGCCCGCTAGACTAGAGGGTTTTCCCCTCCCCCTTCTATAAATAGGAGGCTTGGCCTCTTGATTAAGGGATCCGATCTTGGCTCTCCTTTACTGCTTTCTTCTTCCTCCCCTTAGACTAGCAAGCTTCATACTCCATTAATGGAGGGAAGGTATTTGTAGCATGTAAAATGGTGAGGAGAGCAGATTAATGAAAAGAGCGGGCTTGGACGTTAGCCTAAAAAGTCCCGTGGTTTTCTCCCTTTCCGGGTTTCCACGTAAAAATAGCTAGTTCATACACTTTATATTTATTATTCACTTTTATACCGTATCCATCGTCCTTAATATCCGAAGTTTATGTTGGGCTTCCGGATCTGCGGGACAAAACCTCAACATTGGCGCCGTCTGTGGGAGATGCTTTGGGCCTATGAATAGTAATAGGCCGGGATATTATATCCCAACAAGTACTATTATACTTGATTTTTCGGTCCATTACCTATGTACGAAGATAGACTCATAGATCCTAAAGAGAAATACAACGGGGTTAGTAACTTATTTTATCAATTATTCAATGACTTTCATGTACATTATGATAACACACCCCCTCCCCCGTAATCTTATGAAAATAAATAAATCAACTCCCGTTGTTGCACAAAGCTCGATTAATGAGTTTTCTTTATATCTAACATTTCCTGTTGAGTATGAAGAAGAGGATGACTTTGGCGTTCTGAAGTGGTGGAAGGACAAAGAAGGAATGTTCCTGATTTTATCAAAGATGGTGAAGCTAGTGCTATCAATGCCGGTATCAATAGTTGTCGTAGAACAAGAATTTAACGCAGCCGGCAACGTCCTCACGGATTATAGAATGAAATTAAACGCACAATCTCTTGAGACGCTCATTTGCTTCCACGATTGGTAGAAGGCCCGACGTAGAATTCAAGTATTTTATTTGAATCTTTGTTATACATGATTTGAGAGAAAATGGTCAAAATGGTACACGAAGTTGTTTCGATGGGAGTAAGTAGTACTTCTTCATCTTGCATTTGAAATTTTAAAGTACATGAACTTGTATTTTTATAGTCAATCAAGTACATTTGCTCTGTCAGAACGTTAAAATAGCTGACCTGGCTAAACTATCCGTTTGTATTATACAATTGCAGTCCAAGTCATCAAATAATTAATCTATAAACTCTATTTTCCTCTAGTACACTCGTTTTCACCTTCGCTTTTTGCCTTATATTATTCTCGTCTACTCTTCCTTTTCTCCGATCTACATCTTATATTACTTCCATCTGCTCTCCCTGTTGTTTCAACGACTTCTTCTTTTTGCTCTGTTTTATTTTCTTCCTCTCTTGCTATAATAAAGATGGACCGATAGCAAATAAAAGAAGAAATCGACGGAATAGCAGGGAGAGAAGACGAAAAAGAAGGCGAGTAGCATGGGCGGAGCTAGAGGGGTCAACCTAGACCCTGGGCCCACCTCAAATTTTGTGTAACTTTTTCCCCCAAAAATATTCTTTGTACTGCTCCAGCCTGGTCCAGTGCCCTGGCTCTACCCTTGCAGAGCAGATGAGACAAATATAAGAAGAGCGAGAGAAGGGAGAGAAAATATGATCCACGAGTATTAGCTAGCACATCACATTAAGGCCTAGCTATGATGCACTGATACTTCACCCTGATGCCGTATCCGCGTATCCGATACGTATCTGATATCGATACTCACCGATACGCGTCCTGTACGTATTGGGTCCGTGTCCATATTTAATTGAATAAAAGTATCGGGCTTACTTTTAAAAATACCGATACTTCCGATACCTGTATCTGTGAACCGATACGCGTATCTGACCCTATAACTCTTATTTTATACACAACATGATGAAAATTTAGTAGCCGCCCAAGTGACCATAAGATGTGGAACATTGATAAAGATGATTTCGGGAGTATGGAAAACAATGGAACACTATAATTTGTCATTTAATCGCTTGATCAGTTTTAATTGAAACAAAACTTAGATGTAAATGCAAATAGAGAACAAAAATATTATTTGAATTTAAATCGAAATATCAGTACTTTAGTTTCTTTAGTCTAATCTTTGAATTTTTATTATAATACGTAGTAGTTAATTTTTTGTACTATTATTATTTTATTTATGAACCCTTGCATTATATATATTTGCAAATTATACCCTATATTTTTATTATTTATAAATATACCCATGTACCCGTATCCTATATTTTTTGAAATTGACGTATCGCCTTACCCGTATTCGCGTATCGGCGTATCGACGTATCCGTATGCTTGCAACATTATAGAGGCCTAGAACCCGCCACACAAGGTGAAATCTGGTAAATTCATGATAATTTGGATTGCAAAAAAGATTAAGTTTATACTGGTTATTAATTAGCTCCGGTTTTGTTGAAAATTTTATTGAAGCTTTTTACAAACAGATTATAGGCATTAGAAAACTAAAACAATAGATACGAAATTTTCATGCTTGATATATATATATATATATATATATATATATATATATATATATATATATATATATATATATATATATATATATATATAAATATATATATATATATACACATATATATACATATATATACATATATATACATATACATATATATATACATATACATATATATACATATACATATATATATATATATATATATATATATATATATATATATATATATATATATATATATGTGCAATTGCATCAGTGAGCAAAAGATATATGTAAATCAAACACGAATAGTAACAATAAATGAATACTTAATTTGCAAAAAAGCATTTTGACCTAAATGGCATGAAACAAATGTCCTTCTGATGAAGATCTAGAAATTAAACATTATATAAGACTTTGGGCTACTCCTCCTATCAGGTTGACCTTTTAGGATGGAACCCCGGATCTTAACATGGTATCAGAGCCAATTCCGGTTGTGGTTTGACGGCTTGTTTAGCACCCATGATTAAGGGTAGCTTGTTAAGGGTTTGTTTGGCCCGTTTATACACCCTGATATTGTCCAGCCCGGTTCGGGCTAAGGGGGCGTGTTGAAGCATTTGTCCCACACCGGAAAGCTATAAAACAATTAAACACTATATAAGACTTTGGGCTACTCTTCCTATCAGGTTGACCTTTTAGGATGGAACCCCGGATCTTAACATTTTGCTTTCGATTTCTCCTATTAAGAGCTCATCCTTTATCTATCATACTTTTCACTACCTACAATGAAGTATAGAATTTTTGAGTAAATTCGCAACTTTTTTTTATTTAGGTCAATCTTTAGTAATTTAATTTACATATGTCATATTTTTATACATCATGTTTAATGTTGAATAGTTTCATATTACAGATTCATGAATGATTTTCTGATGTGTTCTTATCCATTTGCGATACAAAGGAATGTGGTGATTGCTTGTTTTGCCGTTCATAATTTTATTAGAAAGTCTAACATTGATGATAAATTTTTTGATGAATGGGATGATGACAATATAGTCAACAATGAAGCACATGAGTAAGTTGAAGATATTGGAGAAGAAGTGCATGTAGCACAATGGGGTACACAAAGTCTACAATATATGACCAATTTGCGGGATGAAATCGCTAATAGACTAGTTTAAATTTAAAGTGTTGTTCTCATAAAATGCTTGACTTTTTTCTTATCATGTAATGTGACTTTTTTATTTTATTAATCCATATGAAGTTATGTTTCAGAAACAAAGAAAGTAAACAGACAATATACATTCAACACTTGTTCCAAACAGAAGGGTTATTTGGTCATTTGACGTGATTCAGACTTTTCATTCAGCACACTTAGTAAACAGTTTGTTATCTTACTGTCACTTAATCCAGACAGACAACTTAATGCAGACAGACATTTTAATCCATTCAGGATTTAATGAAAAAAAAATGTAAACAGCCCATTAGCTCCTTCCCTTTCACTGGCCGCGCTAGGAGTATAGTAGCAGGTACTAGGAGGCTAGGATCCGGCTTTTCGTTATAGGGTAAAGCCCATTAGAAACTATATTAATGCTGGATCCGGCTTTTCGTTATAGGCTAGGATAGATCCGGCTTTTCGTATGTAAACAGCCCATTAGAAACTATATTAAAATCTCTCTAAAGATGCAAAATCCAAATCAGTATATAATAAAAAGTAGATATCCTAATAAATCGAATAAAATGAAATTGCTTTATAAAAAAATTGATTTTTGCAAATCAATTTGGGACGAAGATAGTACTCCCTCCGTCCCATTTTACCTGTCCTACTTTCCTTTTCGGGTTGTCGCAAAGTAAGTGTTTTTTTTTCCTTTTTTGGAAAGAAATATGTGATTTACATCATTTCACTCTATTATACTCAAACCTCAACCATAGCTTTTACTTTTTCAACCACTTCATTAATAATTGTGTCAATGACACATAAAATGGGACGAACGTAGTACCAATTAGTCTAGGTATCAATATTAGGAAACACTTGATGAAAACTAGCTAGAGTATCTGGAGGGAGAGATTAATGGAGATAAACACAAAAGACGGTACTTTTGAATAGGAATTCGTAGTATTACAAAACATGCTCGATGAAGATCATGGTAAAAGCTAGGTTATAAACGCCATATATTATAGTAGCTCTTGATTGAGACACAGATAAATGCATGATCGATCATGTTAATTGAAACCATTATATTAAAGCGAAGAAACTTTGAAATCAAACACATTAAACATCACCATCCTAAGTTAAGCTCGATATGATGATGAGCTCTAACATGACCCTCCTTTTCCTTCAGACAAGTCCACATTCCCACATGTAATGACTGTGACGGTAGAAGGAAAATTGGGGACAGTGCCAGTAAACTGATTATTAGAAAGATCGATTAAGTCAAGTTGAGGCAAACTTGCAAGGTTTTGAGGGATATCGCCCGTAAGTTGATTATTAGAAAGCCGGAGGTGCGTAAGGTTGGTCAAACTTGCAATGTTTTGAGGGATAGAGCCAGTGAATTGATTATTAGAAAGGTCGATTTGCTCAAGTTGGTCCAGACCTGCAAGGGCTGAAGGGATGGGGCCAGTAAGCTGATTATTCGCAAGATTGAGGTGCCAAAGGCTGATCAAATTTGCAATCGTCGAATCCGGGACAGAACCAGTGAGCTGATTATTTGAAACATCCAGCGTCTGAAGTTGGGTCAACTCCGCAATGCTTTCAGGGATAGAACCGGTGAGACTATTGCTGGACAAGGTAAGGACTCTTAAGAGGGGGAAATTCACGGGGTTGAAGATGTCCGGGAAGGGCCCCTCCATGTTGCAACCGTCGGCGGAGAAATAGTCGAGCTTTGGGGAGCCCTTGAGAGCGTCAGGGATGGCCCATTTGTTGAGGGAAGGGTTGTTGGATAGAACAAACATTGAGAGCTGAGGCTTGGATTCGAACAGCTTTTGCGGGACTATTTCAGTGAAGTGGTTATCGTTGAGGGAGATTTCCCAGATGGCCTCGCCAAAGTTGGGAATGGCCCCGTGGAGGTTCTTCCCCGGCGCTTCGAATATGCTCAACTCGGGGAGGGCTTCGAGACTGGCTGGCAGACTCCCGCCGGAGGCCCCTTGGAAGGTGAGGTAGGTAACCCGCCCTCTACCCTCCAGATCGCAACGCACATCCAGCAGCCCCGACCCCTCCGCCCCGCAGTCGCACGGAATTTTCGTATAATTACAATCCGCGTCGCTCGTCAACCCTATGCTCTTTCTCAGCTCCATTATTACATTGTAGTCAGGGGAACTGCTACCCGCCTCCGCCGTAACAGCAAAGGCGGCGACCGCCATAAACAAAAGAAGCAAGCTGCTGGATGCCGCCGCCACTGCTCTGTATAAACAAAAGGAACGCCGGCATTTCTTCATTCCCGTCATATCTTAATTCTTAGCTACCTTAATTACCTTCTTCCCCACTGCTTTATATCATCAGATTCAGATGGATCGGCAGATATTTTATGATTAGGCCGCTACCCCCAGGGACTTATATATATACTATACACACACCCACAAAATAAACACATTCAATACGTAATTGTAGTAGTAGTACGTAATTCCTGACGTAGTAGTATAATCTCTTTTGTACATACTATAGTCCCTAATAAAGCTTTCAAATGGGTTCAGGAGAGTGGAGATTGTGTGGTGGAGAGTTGTGCAGAAGAGACAGAAATATGTAAGAAATGTTATGAATCACAAATTTTTTACCAAAAAAGAAAGTGAAAGTTTTAATTAGGATGGACGAAAAAGGAAACGAGTATATTCTTTTAATCACACTGGACCCTATTTTGTTGTTTCTAATCTCAATTCGTTACCCTTAGGTTTGGTCATTCTTAAAGTTTCTCCCATCACATTTTTTTGATTATCTTCTCCCATCACATTATTAAAGCCTCTTTGGTGATCAGACTTAAATTAAACACATAATTTTTGATTTCGCGCCCTGAATTGTTTAATAATAAGAACAAATAATGTTGAGTTTACTTTCTGACTGTATTGGTTGAAGTTATTGTAAATGATCATTTTAACTATTTCTCATATAATTTTTATTTGTTTGATTAATGCAATATATTTTAAATATAATTTTTTCTTGAATCTGCAGAATCAGTCAATTCAACTACTTCAGTCAGAACTTCATCAATTTCAGCAAAATCAGTCGATTAAGCCAATTTCAGTGCTACCAAAATGACCTCTAATACTCTGTAATAAAACTTGATACTCCATGTAACTCTTAAATTCAATGAAAGTTGTCCATAATATTTACTTTAAAAGTAAAACACAATTTATTTTTATAATTATAAGTAATTGTTGTTGAGATCATTGTTTTTCTACTTAGCTGCTCGTAGAATATATAAATATCAATGTTCTAAAAGGCGTTAGACGCTAGTCGGGCGCTAGACCAGCTAGGCATCTAGGCGGGCGCTTAGACGCGGACTAGCTAGTCGATGACGTAGAACTTATAGTTTCATCAATGTTTTTGCACAAATATGATTAGTATTGTTATATTTGTGTGTATAAAAATATATATACATATTAACATGCATGAATAATAGAGTTGTCACAATAAAAATATTATACGTACTCACATAACTTTATTATGTTAAAGCTAAAGATACTTAATTATATTTCTTAGAAATAAAAAACAAAACACAAAAAAAATGTTCATCAGCGAATATATTAGATGCCCTAGGCGGCCAATTAAGTGCTCGGGGCAGGCAACTAGGCACCATAAGCGATGTACTAATCCACCTAGGCACCAATCCAATTAATCGGAGCGCTCGACAACCGTCTAACGCCTAGACGGGGACTAGTCGGATGCCTAGAACGATTTTTAGAACAATAATAAATACTCCGTATTAATTAAAGCAATTAAGGAAGAACACGTACGAGTAATATTTATGGGATACATCAAAGAAATTAAATTTTTCTTAATACTCCATATGTGTTATCAAAATTTTACACTTCTTCATCATGAACATAAAAGTCTTGTTTATAATTCATCTAGCTAAATTAATTTTAATGACATTTGTTCTGTGTCTACCAAAAAAAAATATCAAAAAAAGAAATTTTAGCAATTCATGATATGAAAGAGAAGATCGCTATCAATAAGAAACCTATAAGATAGGATGTGCCTCTAGTATGGGACTCAGATGACTGAAAAATCTCAATCTAAGACCCAAAATTATTAAGTTCACGATATTTTAGATCTTAGATTGATAGTCTTCAATCATTGATAGTCTTCAATTGTCTTTCAAGACTCTTATTGATAGTAAGCTTATCTTTTGGGTCTTAGGTTGATAGAATTTCAAAAAATATGATTTGTAATTATGATGATGAATTATGATGACTTATAAAATCATATGTTCTAGAAAACTTTCATTAGATACAACAATATATTACGTATGAATTAAGCTAAATGTGATTAATGTTAACTGGAGGGTAAATAGTGTGAATAAGCAAAATGCGATAAATAAATAATTGATTTTGAAAAATGTAAACTTGAATTAGTAATTTTTTACCTAACGTATTCATTTTCTTTCATTCACGTAGTGAGAACACTCCCCTATTCACTCAATTACGGAGCAGAATTATTGGGAAGCCTGTTTCTCTCCCCTTTTATCAACTAATTACGGAACTTTGAATTTCCATGTTAATTTTGGTCGTTGTTGTTGTAATTTTTTGAAAGATTTTGTTGTTTTGAATTGCTTTCATCTTTTACATTTTTTGGTACCAAAATTAGCGGTTTTGAGATTCCAAATGCCACGACTTAAAATCTAAGTTGTTATATGTAGGCGTAGTAATTAATTATACATTTATACTTTTATGAGCTTGGTAATTGCTATTTTGTGACTGAAATTTTTTAGAACTCAACACATATACATAATGAAAATGATGGATCATTTTTAAACAATGTTCGAGTTGAATATTTCATAAGCAATTTAGATAAATAGATACTTGTAGCAATAAGACATACTCCCTCCGTCCCACAATGGTTGATTAAATTTACTTTTTTGGCCGTCCAAAAAAGGTTTGTCATTTTCGTTTAAAGTAAGGAATATGTGGCTAAAGTTAATTCCCACGCCCTGCACAAATTTCAAACACTTAGTTTTTACTTTATTAATCCACGTGCAAGTCAACATTGGTCAACCATTTTGGGACAAATGGAGTATTATCTTAGCTCTGTTTTTGAATCGTGTGCCGTATGTATTGAGTGAATTATACCATATTTTTAAAATTTGGGAAAATAATCTATAGTATGCTTCAAATTTTTTCTGATTTTATGTTTAGATAGTGTTGATTTTCCAGAAGTCATAACTTTTTACTCGTAATGAGTTACGGGGGGCATAATATATCAAATTGAAGATATTTCATATCTGCATACTCTCAAACTTTCAGCGGGTCGGCTGACCACCCTGACCCCCCTTGGTTCCGCCCCTGGTTATAGCGGTTGGATAAAACGTTGATTGTTTGATTAGTTATGTTTGGTATACAAGCTATTGTTAAATTTTAAAGACTTTTCTCAGATGATACCCTGCGTAATTTTTGAAAAAAAAAATCTTTTATTTAAAAAAAAGCTATTAAGAACTGTAGTGTCAAATATACCACTAGAAATTTTTTAAGACTTTTTGAATAAAGTAGAATTATTGTGAAGTTCTTTCCCAATCTGCGTTGGTGCGTTACAGAGTAGTCCCATTGTTTCTATCCCCTTTTATCAACAATTTACGGAACTTTGATTTTCCAGGCGTTTTTTCAAAACACAGGAAAAGGTGACATGCGGTGCCAAAGACGGGAATTATTCTAGGCTTACTAGAATAATACAAAAAAAACCGCAGTCAGAAAACTATCAAATAAGCCCCTCTACTTTTCAAAAAAATCAATTAGACACCCGAACTAAAATATGACTCAATCAAACCTTTGAACTAATTTAAAAATGACAAATCGTCTTTTTAGTTTGTATTTTTAGAACTTCCGGTCAAAATTCCATACTTGGCTGATGTGGCATTTTTCTTTTCTTTTCATTTCTTTTCTTTTCTTTTAATTCTTTTCTTTTCTTCTTCCGCTCAACTCTGTTCTTCTTCCCTGCCCTCAACCACCTGCAACTTTTCTCTTTTCTTTCTTTCCCCATTTGCTTCTTTCCTTAGTTAATGTCTAGTGAGAATCCGAAAGGTGAAAAATTAATATAGCTAGACCTCTTGCCTTACGAAAAAGAGAATGGGAGCCCCGGTCAAAAAGCGTAAGATGAGACTTGGGTATCTTTCGAAAGAAACGGCGTTCTCGTGCCAACATGACAAGGGAAACTGAATTTAAATAATGAACTTGGAGGCTATCTCAAAATTTAGTTTTAGTCCTCCGCGTACTTCAAGTATACGTCAAAGCACAAATGTGCCGAGACGGTTTAGCTTAGTTGTACACCATGTCTACTCTTTGCATAGGTTTAAATGATTGTTCCTAATTTGTGGCCTACTGAGTTCCTTGTTCCTAGGAATAGCCCTGAAGTTCCTGAATGCATTGAGTCTTTGTTAGAATATTCCGATCTCTCAAAATAAAGGGACTATATTCACTAACCATTCACCATCAAATTCACAAGTCCTTCTGATCAGTAGCTAGCTTATTTATGTATGCTGTCATTACTTTGAGGATGTTGTGAATAATTGTGTCAAATAGTTTAGCTTGAGTACAAAGGTGTAGTTTAGAGAAGAATTTTCTTGGTTTAGATTGTCTGTCCTGTGAATATCCCTTTAACTACGTGTGCATGCTAACTATTTTAAATTTCGTGTGGTGATTATCGTAAGTCCCGTTGTTCGATTTGCTTGAGGACAAGCAAAAGCTTAAGTGTGGGGGAGTTTGATAAGTCCGTATTTAGACACGCATTTGATGCGTGTTCGGGTCAGATTTTGACGGTTTTCCTAGCTTTAAGGCGTTGCAAGTCTCAATTTTGGCTCAAGTTGTGTTTAGCAGGCGTTGGATCGAGTTTCATTGCATTTGGAGTTGATTTGAAGAAGTTAGAGTCCGGCAATCGGCGCTTGAGAAGCAATCGGGCAGAGTTTGGAAGAATTCGAAGAAGATTTGAGAGATTTGGAGGCCACCGGGAGATTCACGATGATGTTTTGATGAAGAAAGAGCTATTGGATCGATCGAGTAGTCAAACGGAGGCTTAAAACGGAAGAAATCGAAGAAAATGAAGAAGAAAGGCCACGCACGGCCGTGCGTACAGGGACGCACGGCGTGCGTGCGTGGCAGTAGCGGCCAAGAAAAGTAATGAGCAACGCACGGCCGTGCGTCCGGGTACGCACGCCGTGCGTTCAAGGCGTTAAAACGACGAAAGGCTACTGGCAGCAACGCACGGCCGTGCGTCCGGGTACGCACGCCGTGCGTTCAAGACGTTGAAATCACGGGAGGCTACTGGCAGCAACGCACGGACGTGCGTAGGGGAACGCACGCCGTGCGTTGCCTAT